TTATTGCCATTGGGGTAGTTGTTATTGCCATTGGGGTAGTAGTTATTCTGGTTATTGTTATTATTAGGATAACCGTTTTGGTTTGGATTACAGTAAGGTTCTTCAGATGGGTAGTTATTATTAAAACCTGACATGGAGCCTACAAGTGTAGTTCCAGCTGGACACTGACACTGCCTGTTAGTACATATTGCACCACCGACACACTGCGAAGTGATCTGACAGTTTTGGCCTACAAATGCAAGATCGTAGCATCGATTCTGAATGAGAATCTGATTGTCCCCGCAACCGTTGTTTTGCTGTGAGCAAACTCCATTATAGTTCGTGGTACCTGCAAAAAAATGAAATTAAAAATTAAGATATGAACATCAGATTAGCAGGTTCGCCTCTCTGTAACCAAATGTGCTTCAGCTTTGACTAGAGCTCGGTTTTATAAAGCGAAGTTATTATTGCATTTTTTGTTTATTGTCCAGTTCTCTTTTAATTTCCGTATTTTTTTTTTTGATGTTAAACAAGTCTATTACTTGAAAAAAGCTAAGGATTTCTGTTTTACTTTTTGTTTCTGTGTGATTTTCAAAGTGATAGTCAGAAGCACTGCGGCATTACACGAAAAATGTTTCGCACAACAAACTTCTTCTAAAAATAAAAACCCGTTTTCTAGAAATGCAATTTTGTTTTAAAATAAAACCTTTTTTAAAATGAAATCTTCTGCAAATTAGCCACCACGCTTGCAGAAAAAAACCTAAGTACAGTGAAATAAAGTTGACTGGGGTATATTTATTGTATTGTAAAATAACGTTTTTCAACAATTCATTCGCAAACAACGATTAATCTCTCCGATTTATCAGTAGATTGCAAAACACCCAGAATTTTTAAGAAAAAAATAATTCTCAAAAAATATTTGTTTTGAAAAAAAGGTTTAGTTTGAGAAATCATTGTTTTTTTTTTCAAATTCCTTTTGCAAAATAGCAGTATTTTCTGCAACTTCTCTACAGCTTAAACTTTAGCAAATAGGGATGTCTGACACAAACATTAATGCAAAAAGACTATTGTACCCTGCCGTCTGCTTCATTACAAATCGCAGCATTGAGTTATGTCTGAAAACTTTTTTAGATATTCAAAAGAGATTTCCTATTGACATAGTCGGTTGAGAAACAGTACTGAAAAAGTGGATTTAAAAAAAGCTCAAACTTTGGCAAATAGGGATGTCTGATACAAAAATTAATGCAAGAAGACTGTTGTACCGTGCCGCCTGCTTCATTACAAATCGCAGCATTGAGTTATGTATGAAAACTTTTTTAGATATTCAAAAAAGATTTCCTATTGACACAGTCGGTTAAGAAACAGTACTGAAAAAGTGGATTTAAAAATGATTTTCAACCTAAACCAACTATTGTACTTTACGTTTTTAGACCGCGCTCTTGACCAAATCGTTTCAGGATAGAGATTATACAGAACGTTTGCTTTTTAAAGAAATTTTCAAAAACACTACTGCAATTGCCGGCAAAGCAAAAAAAAAAAAAAAAGTAAATAAGTTACTCAATAGTGCTGCGCATATGAAAACTACCTGTTGGGCACGCACATACTCTGTTGAAGCATACTGATCCACCTAAACATTGACTTGTTGTCTCGCACTGTTCGTTTACTCGTTTCGTATATAAACATCTCCCGTTATAGTACACCTATAAACACTTGTATTTATTTAGCGTTCAAAAAATTAGTATATCAAATCTCCTTTGAAGTCCATTTCCCAGGAGGCAAATTTTCTCCATCTAAATAGATCAAAGTCTTTTCTACGCATTGATTTAAGAACCAAGATAATGTCGCCATATTGAAGGACAAGTAACAATTGAGCATTTTCTTAAAAACTTTTTTTTTCCAACCAAAAAAAATTTTTTTGAAGATTTTTAAATAGATTTTTATAAAGTATAAATAATAGTTACCATATGAATAACCTGAATTAAACTTTAAAATGAATGAAACACTGTTATTTGACTATTGAATATGCAACCGCTTGGTTCAGCCAGTGTCTCCTCATTTGAATCAGAATCATTTTTACGCTAATCAAACTTTCAGTTAACAGAATAAACTGAAGACAATTTTAATTTTCACTCATTATACTCGATCACTAAAGATTCATCAGCAAAAGTTAACTATTCATTTGAAGATCAAACAATTAATTTGGTTTCACCTGTTCGCTGTTATTACATATGCCACGATTACTTATGCAGTGACCATTGAAATAAATTTGTCCACGGCCACATTGACAAGTTCCCGAGATACACTGCTCTTCCTTGCTACACTGTGTAGCTAACGAACACCTGTTACCCAATCCTGAACCAATTTTAATGGTCATTCATAA